TCGGCAGCACCCAGAACATGAACACGCAGCCAACTGCGTTACCAGTCCCCATTCTCCTTACTTGAGAACATTCTCCTTACATCTAACATGAGCCACTAACTCCGGCCACAGGAGTTTCTCCCTGCCCTCAAGATCCTCCTCTTTACTGTGTTCTCTCTTCCCACTCCATGCAAACAATGCCTAAAACAAAGTCTGGATCCCTCCATACTCACATCTCTTATTTCAGGCACTTACGCCCTATTCAACACTCTCTACTCCCTCCTCTTTAAACAAAGCACCAGCAGTGTCAACAAACTTCTGTATGAGCTTTCTTGTGTCATGAGGGAAGTTGCATGCCTGTTTCTACACCAGCGTTTGCACAAAACCTATCCAGCTAACAGGCTGCCTCCAAGATGGCTTTATCAACTCACCCAGACAGCTAAAACAGACACAATCAATTCTAACCATGTTCTTCTGTGGAATGCACCTCCAAAGGGCTGCCTGCTTGCAGGGTGAGTACTTTACTCACTGCATAGATATTAAATCACCCTGAGCAGATGTACAGCAGCCGTTCTGCACTGAAGAGTGTTCCCAGCTTCCCACAGGAGAGCATTGTGGATAACCACCTAACTCTGCTCTTGCCTGAAGGTTCATTCAGTGCTGGCCACCTAACTGTGCCTCTGGGAAAGCTGGAAGCTTACCATAAGTTTCATCTTCTCCCCTAATTTTGCCACTCTGCAAATAACTTCCCAAAGGCCTTGTTTTGTCAGTGGCCTTGGCTGTGCTATACGTGCCTTTGCATCTCAATAGGGTGCCACAAGAGCTCTATTAAAACACAGCAGGTCTTCCCTTCAGCAAAATATGCCTAAGGGTCAGGTTTGGGTTCTTCCTTATTTCTCCTACTCCTCTGCAAACTCTTCGCTCTGGACCAGAAGGCTCCATTTGTTAGTATTTACCTGGTAGCAGAAGAGAAGACCTGAACCATCAAAGAACCTAAGAATATAATCAGAACAAATTAAATCAAGATTTTAGCTTGAATTCCAGGCTATTTTACAAATAATCTGCTCCTGAAAGGACTTCCAGAGGCATTCAAAGGTATTTTTCCCCTCAGTGAAAACCAACTAAAACCAAAGCCTTCCCATCTGGTAATGGCTCTATTTAACTACCTACAAATAAGGAAACTAACAGGAAATAGCCACACGGTGTAAGGAGCATTTCTAACTTCTTTTAAGCTTCACATACCTGCAATGACCTGGTTTGCTGTTACAGAATCACAGGAAGTCTTTTTATTTCTGCCCCCATGTTTCAGGACTAAAAAGAAAAGCTCCATCGTTAGTACCACCCAGCCACCTTCCCAAAGCACATTCCCACTTGGAATTCACCTCTGAATTTGCTCTCTCAAGACAATCCAGGAAGTGTAAGATATTACTAAATAGCTGCATTCCTGTAATTCAATTACAGAGTGCTCTGTAGCATATGTGAAAACAAGACCAGTAAACCCATAAATTTAATCTAAAATGAATGTCTACAGAGCCTGTTGTTCAAAACCACCATGAAACAAGGGTATCCTGTCAGACTGAGAGCCCTGGTGGGAAAGATCTCAGCATCATTCTCAAATGTCATTGTAATGCTCCAGGTGAACACAGCGAAAGTTACACCGATAATGTGGTTACATTTTGGTACCCAACTTTCTGTCATGGTCAGAGGTTTTGATTTCGGGGAAGGTTCTACAATCTACAAATTTAATTGTAGTATTATTATTCAGTAACATAAAAGCCTCACATCCAGGTTTATGAAAAGCCTGGTTTTCTAGCCTATTTGGGAGAATTAATGGTCTCTATCCAACAGAAATGCATTATCAGGGAAGAAAGTCTGTGCAACAGAAGGGCTCTGATGCGTTTTTAGTTTTCAGTCCTAAGAACACTGAACTGGTTTCAATACTGAGAGGTTCTCAAGTCCCAGATGCAATCCCGTGGCAGGCAGAGGATACTCGAGTTACACTCCATTTACAAACACTAGATGGCAACAAAGCCCTTTTGTGAGCACGCCTTAGCACAACTCCCTGCTGCACTGTGCTGGTGCCAGCACAAGCCCTGGCAGAAGCTGCGGCACAGGTCAGCAGCATCCCAAGCATCAGGAAACATCAGCTCTGAAGTCACATCTTAATCTGGAGTATTTTTATGGAGGTCAGAAATGTGTGGTGAGAGTGAAGCAGCAGGAAGCCAAATACAGCATGTACTGAGAAAGCGAATGGGGGAAAAAAGCATCACTGTACCCATGACAATAGGAATTGACGGTGGTGCAGCAGAGGGGTATTTGCTGTTAAATTGTTATCAATAGGAGTTTCTTACAAGGAGAGGGGTTTCTTGACAGTAAACCACAGTTCTGATTTTGCTTTGCTTGGTTTGGTTTTCACATCTGTGCAAGCTATAAAGTACAAGGTGCCTGTAGTCTGATACCACTGCAAAACACATTACTCAAGGGTCTGCCAGGCAGCACTCAACAAACCTCTTTCTAACCCAGGAAGCTGCTCCAAGGTTTAGATTTGCTTTATTGGAGTGGTGGAGTTTTAAAACGTAAAATGTGCAACCCCTTCAGAGGTTTTAGCTCCCTGCAGCTCAGTGGGACTGGTGGAAGTTACACCTTCAGGTACACACTGGCACGCTTGCACTCACATTAGCGATCAAAAATAGCACTGTTAGGTAAGCATTCAAGAACCTTCATTTAAGTGCAGCTGTAAGGCAGTTGAGAGCAATGTTTTAGCAAGCACTATACATACACCAAGCCAACTGATTTCAGAAGTCTTAAGGCACAGGAAGATCTGTTTCAGTTCCACTGATGGAACGAGAGAAAAACCCAAACCAACCTCCCCACACACACACAATAAAGGTAAGACTCAGAAGGGCAAACACATGCAAAGAGCCACTTCTTGGTCTTGTGATGAATTATCCCTCTTTTTAGAGGATGGAAGACCAGTGTACATGTTAGGTTTTTGATGCTACTTTGAAACTGTGCTTAAGTAGTGCGGTAGTAAAACCAGACAACTGATTTTGTTCACGGCTTGTCATTACACTCCTCAGGCAGGTCTCAGAAGTCCTGTTCTGTTTTATAGAATACAGCAGAAGTGAGCAAAAAAGTCAACAGCACAGAGCTGGGACAAAAATCTAGGCCAAAGGGGCCCTGGTTTTGGGTTGGTATTCTCATCTCTTTAGCTTTAAGAAAACGTGTCTCCAGAAACAACAATTTTCCTTCCCAAACAACACAGCACATCAAGAATTAAAACTGCAGCTGCTTTACAGTGATTCCAACACTGACAGACTGCAGACAGTGCCCCAGTTTGCCACACACCCAGGCCAGCCCCATGCCTGTCCCAACTCTGTGCCACTAGATGGGAGAAGGAAGACACCCTTCAAGTTTCTCCTCTCCTGCTATGGGAAATGGGCTCATGTGCAGCTTCTCTGGCAACCTCCCACAGACAGAAGAGCAGCTGTGTCCTCCTCAGACCCAAAGCAGTGATTTGCCACCCCCAGGCTGCTACATCCACGCAATGATTTAAGACACCCCTGCAAGGCTTCCTGTTACAAGAACCAAGGAAAAAAGCTATTATATTAAGTGCAATGTTATTTTTCCGAGTAGTCTGATCTCTGAACAATTAACCCCTTGACATGAAGGGTTAGATGCACAGCAGCTGTTCTCTAGACAGCACTGTATGCTGGAAGCCTGAGCACAAGGAGAGAAGTCTTCACAGAACACACAGCATTTGAACAGTGCAGGTTATCACTGGTATTTCATCACCAGGGAGAAGAGAAACTGTCCTTTCCACCCACCTGTATGTATGAAGAGGCGAGACAGGAGGAATGGCAACTATGATGCAAACTTAAATGTAAGCATTACATCTTCTACCTTATTTTCCAAACCCTATCTCAAGCACATCAACACCCTGACATTCCCCATAACACAACCTGTGTGTTCCAAAACACATTTGATGTAGTCTACCTACACTAGGAATGTATTTTATGAACTGTGGACTGCAGCTACTGCACAAATACACTAGGGCTGAGGCAAACTAATATTTGGCTTTCTATTTGGAACAGTCATTGTGCTTCCTGCAGTAGCTGCTTTTTAGCAGGAATGTTTCTGGTGTATGACTTAAGTAGCAGCAGAGTGCTGTGGTATCAAAAAGCAAATACTCCTCTAGGCTACAATAGCTGGAGTTTCATGAGGCATTCACTTAGGGAACACAACAATGACCTTATCTCTCCTTCAACTTTTTGTTACCTAAGTACACTTTACTAGAAGAAAAATCACCTACACTGAAGTGCAAGCCCCACCTGAAAAGAAAAATGGAAATTAGTATCTCTGTTGCCTGTAAACCAATTTTAACATCTGCAGGATACTCAACTTCTCAATGACCACTCTCCTAGTAACCTGAGTACTATGGCACTCATTCATGTGCACTGTTTATTTCAAACCACTGGCCCTTGATCTAATCCAAGCTGCAAGTCCTGTGACAGCAGATGTGCAGGTTCTCTTCCAGATTCCAGATGTGTATGCTACACATACAGCAGCAGCAAGGGTATTTTCCTAAGTTTTAAGTCTAATGTCTGAACTGTGTATGAACAGCAATGCGTCTTCAAATCATGTGCACACAGCAGATTGAAACACCATCCCTGGCTTACTGTCACCTATTAAGAGCAAGTTTGCAAGGCCACCTAATGCCCAGCCTGTAGACCACCACAGCAGAGCTTGCAGTGAGTAGTGACTTATTTCTCTCTCAACAGATCAGCAGGAGAACTGAAGGAGAAAACAGGAGACAGTGAGTCCATCCCTAATAAACAGAAGAAAAAATAGTACTAAAGCAATCAGAATATGAGTAAGGTAAAAGTGCAGGCACTAACATTCCGTTACCCTTAGAGAAGTTTACAGAAAGTGACTTAAAAACAGTTAAAGTCATGACATGCTTAAGCTTAGCTATAAAAATAAGCAGACTGGCAAACTGCAAGACAGCACACACAGATTACCTGAAGATTTATTCAGCTTTGCTGAAAATATAGCAGTAGGTTTTTCCTTTTCTTTAACAGAAGCAGCTTCTCGCTCAGGTTCCTTCTCAAAAGCTTCTGGTTTTCCTACACTGACCATCTCTTTTTCAGCAGGTGAAGGTGAGGTATCTGTGGCCAGTAAGGACATCTTGGATACTTCAGGCACTTCTTTGTCCACAGCCTCCAAGGACTTTTTCAAGGCATTGATATCTTCCTCAGCTTTTACGTCTACATTCTTTACAGACAGGTCACAGGGTAGCTCTGGACAAGGCAACTGCCTCTTCTCACCTTGGATCACCTTACTGATCTCTTCACTTGCATCTTTGCGCATTACTTCTCTGTCAATGGCTTCTGCCAAAAACTCAAGAGTTTTGGGATGACCTAACATCACAAAGTCATCTTCCACTGTGACTGGGGAAGACTCCATGGGTGAGAGAGCTTTGTCGTCTCCTGTTTTTGGTTGTGTAGCAACAGGTACATCAGCTGGATAAGCCATAGCATTCAGCTCTTCCATCTGAAGAGGAATCTTCTCTACCTTGGCTGGTTTTGTAGGTGGTGGCTCAGAGGGCAGAGCAGCCACAGTTTTGGAAGAGTCCAGTTCGGGTCGGAAAGACTCCAGATAAGGTTTGCCTGTGGCAGCTCCTGAATCCACCAGCTGTTCCTCGTGTTCCTCATCAGTTACAATATTCTCAGCTGATTTACTCTTTAGGATGAGAGATGGATCTTCACTCGCTCTCTCTGTGAAGTCAGCTATCACCTGGCTATTGAACAGGTCAGATTTCCCAAACTGTGGAGATGGCTTTTCATCGAGCTCCTTGTCTTCAGGCACGTCCTGAGGAATGCATTCTGTCACCGGTGTCTTTGAGTATTCCGTAAAGGATGGAGCAGTGGGCTCACCAGAGACCTTTGTTTCCTTAATCAGGTCACATGCAATAGAGATATATGGAGTCTCTGTATCTTCAGGACTGGTGCTACTCTCATGCTCAGGTTTCTTAAATGCTAATGCCTCTTTTGTTTCTTGGGCCTGTGTCGGTGGTGCATTCACTGCCTCTTGATACACGGGAGGCTTTTCAGTCTCTTCTTTTACATTCTCATAATTAACAGTAGGAATAAATGTTTCTAATGGGGAAGCTTCAAGCTGTACAGCAGATGTTTCTGCACCAGCAGTCCCAGTGCTTAGTGGGGCTTCCATAACAATATCTGGCAAGACTGGTGATGGAGCAGCTTCTGAGCCTTCAAAGGAGGGACAGAGTTGTGTCACGGGTTTCAGAGTCTCTTGTACAGACTCGGAGGTTTGAACTAAATCAATCTTTGTTTCATAAGCAAGTTTTGTACATGCTGCGTCATGCATCTCACTTTCATATGCTTCTTGTACTAGATCGGGAGTAAGACCTTCAGGCATATTTGCTGCAGTGTCAGATGGCACTGTTGATATACTCTCTGGTTTAGCATAGTCAGCTTCCTGGCCTTCCTGCTTGCCAACTGCTTTAGTGCTAAAATTACCTTGTTCTGTGCTCGTCTGAGCTTTCATTTCTGCAATCTTTTTCTCATCATCGGTTCTATTTTCTGAAGCACCTTCCTCTAGCGGAGAAAGAGATTTGCCTTTGTTCCCATCAGGACTCATAGAGGATTCAAATTCAGTACAAGTGATGTAAGTCTGCGAAGGTTCTGTTACGGCTTCAGGGGTACTTGGGAAAGAGTGATCTTCCATGCTGCCTTCACTGTCTCTTTCATAATCCCTCTGCACATTCAGCTTACCTACACCGTACTTCTCATCTAAACTGCTTTCTAGCTTGGCATCTACCTTACTTCCAACATCCTCTTTCACGCTGCTCAGTCCATGACTAGCACTTTTTAGCTCCCATATTGGCTCGAATGGTTTGAAGTCCGCGTATTCTTCCCTCTTAAGAGGGTCTTCTTTCTGTGCCCCTTTGTCATCCTGCTCACCACCTCTGTATTTGTCTTTGTTATAGAAGAGATCTTCCTCGTTTTTCTCAAACAAATCTTGAGGACTTTCTGGAGACATTTTCAGCTGCTCTGCAGGCATTTTCTCCAGATTAGGTAATTCTTTAGGGCCCTCTAGCTGTGTTTCTTCTTTAGCCTGAGATAAAATGGCTGCTTCTGCTTTAGCAAATGGGGGTTCTGAGGACTTCATCTCTGATGTCTGAATGTCTTTTCCAATTCCCTCTGAAAGAAATGGATTTCTTGCCTTTTCCACAGGTTCTTTATAAACCTCACTTGCATTTTCTTTGCAAGTGCCTCTTGCAGGTAATCCATCTGAGAGCGTATCAAGGGCTGAGTGCTCTTTAAAGGGATCAGCTGAGACAGGAGAGAAGGAGGGAAGAGAAGGAGCAGTATCAAGCGGGACTGCAGTAAAATCCTCTTGACCAAGCGACTTAGTGCTACCTGGCTGCTCCTGCAAGTCCAGAACTTTTTCTGTGACCATGGACAGAAAGGAAAGTTAGAGAATGCAAGTGCTCTTTAAAGTCAACGCAAACGTTCATGACAGGTTCACATGATGTTAGTTATTAAGAGGTTCTTCCAAGTTCTATCATAAACACTATTACCCATTAAAAGCATGGGCTAAAGTGTGCTATTCTAGTTCACTTCTTCTAGCAGAGAAGTATGCAAGAGGCTAGAGAAGCAGCAACTTTATGCAGTGCAGAGATCACAGTAAAGCTGAAGATGCCAGACAAGTACAGAGCATCCAAGTACAGCAGGCAATATTAACACAGTAAGAGAGGGAGGGTGGCAAGGTGAGACAGAGAGAGGGTATGTGTGGATGCTTGTGCACAGACATATGCACAAACGTGCATGAAGTCCGTTTTTGACATCTTAGTGGGAATTTGGCTAACAAAAAAAGCATTAAAATACTACAGGTACATGTTTTACTTACATAAAGTACTGCAGAAAGTTACTATGGATTGAATCCTTCTGCTAAATCAGTAAAGCGACTATGCTTTGATGTGTTAACCTGTTAATAATATCAACTTCTCTCCTACATCAAGGGTCCAAGAATTCAGATGGCTGTGGCTGGTTCACACAACATTTACCATGTCAAGAAACGAATGTGTATTGAAATCTTGAACAGATCAACTGGAAAGTCACAAGATGGAGCAATGTGATGGAGGCTATTCTTGGACCCATGCTGACTTTTAGTAAAGGCAGACTAATTGGAACGGGTTAATGAGGTCAGAAATGCAGGATGTATTCAGACAAAGGTGAGCAGAAAGAACTTGCCTGCAGAGGAGTGCATCAGAGGCGCAGATGTAGCAGGAAGAGCAAAAAGGGTCTCATCTGAAAAACAAACAAATAACCTCAGCAGAAATAAAGGCTAGGTTGAAGAGGGGAGAAAGCACGCAAGGAGTCAGTTCCCAGGAAGTCAAACAGATCCATAGCCAACATCTACACCCACAGAGAACCACAGAACTGGATACAAGCCCTGTGATTTGGGAAAGGCAACACTCAGATTTCTCATTTACAGTGGGATCTTCACTGAGGCAACTGAGGGACCTCCATCCTCCAAGTCAGTGACCACACTTAGGGTAAGATACACCACAGTAGCTACTCTTTACTTGCATTCTCCAAACATTTACACTACTGAGCAGCTACAGCAGCTCTAGCACCAGAAAAACCACTTGACTTGCCATTGGCAATGACTCCATCAGCTCACTTTGTCAGAGGGATTTCTACACCAACCAGCTTGGGTGAGAACAGCAGCAAAATGGAGATTCGACCAAAACTTGTGAGAAGTGACTAAGGCAGCCTTTGAAACTTCCCGAAACAGCACTGGTCAGGCATGCTGATACTGATCAAACCAGGAATAGTAAAGGACTGTACTGTTTGCTGATTGTTTAGGTCTTCAGTATTTTCATAGAATCAGTGAGGTTGGAAAAGCCCTTCAAGCTCATCCAGTCCAACCCTTACTCCAGCACTGCCAAGGCCACCACTAACCCATGGCACTGAGGCCTCGTCTCCACGGGCTGTGAACCCTTGCAGGGACGGTGACTGCAGCCCTGCCCCGGGCAGCCTCTTCCAATGCCTGAGCACCCTCTGGGGCAGGAATTGCTCCTCAGCTCCATCTAAACCTGCCCTGGTGCAGCTTGAGGCCGTTTCCTCTTGTCCCATCCCTTGTTCCTTGGGAGCAGAGCCCAGCCCCTCCTGGCTCCATCCTCCTGTCAGAACCTCCCTGTAGGGAGCGATCAGGTCCCCCCTGAGCCTTCTCTTCTCCACACTGAACCCCCCAGGTCCCTCAGCCCTTCCCCATCACACTTGTGCTCCAGGCTCTGCATCAGCTCCGCTGCCCTTCTCTGGCCCCGCTCCAGCCCCTCAATGTCTCTTGTAGTGTGGGGCCCAGAACTGAACACGCAGCATCACGAGAGCCCGGTACAGGGGAAGTTACAACACAGATAAGCGTCCAAATGAAGGCATTAGTTTTAATGCCTTCTTCAGCATGAGCCCAGGAGCATATTTTGCTTCGCTGTATTTGTTTTACCCCTAACATTTCACACGACATTCCCAGCTCTCCAATTTCCACTCAGAGAACTAAGTAAATATAAGGCAGGCCACACTTCTAAGCTAAGGAAGTCACCACCCTCCTTCACTACTGCATGGTGGTGAGAAGCTCGACAATGTTAGAGCTTCATATTGCACATTACCCAAAGTAAAAGCATACAAACATGGTATTTTACTATGCTAAATAAAGCATTTGATGAAAAGCCCCTCCAGAAGCAGCAATACCAGCCATCATTAGGAACCAGGCAAATTAAAACCAGCCCTCCTCTGCATTTCTGCAGCAGCAGCGGTGTTTTTCGCAGGTCCATCATGGCCTATTGGCATTAAGTTAATGTAAAACCAGTAACATTTGGGCAAATGCATTTCATTCTGAAGAATGCACAAAGTTTTCAAATTAAGGCTGTTAAAGCCTATTTGCAATTGAGATCAATTGTATTAGCAGCGTGCAGAATTGTATTAAAGCATTTCAATTAGATTTTGAATGTCTACTACAGACATCAATAATCTTTAGGTTTGATGTTTGCATGGGCAAAAATCAAGCACCACAAAAGAACTATCTATTCTTAAAAGCAAAGAAAAATGGAAGCAATTGATTTGACAAGATGCAAGAAGTGAGGAACTTGGCAGAGCCAGCAGCACACATAGCACAGTCCATGCCTTTCCGCAAAAGCAAGGCCACTTCAACATACTCATGACCTGTCAGGCTTGAGTCAATCCTACCAGGAGTTTCCCAAAAAGATCAAGTCTCCTCACAACCTACTTTTCCTCTCCCAATATACACCCAGTTGGTCTTGTTTCACAGAACATTGTTAGAATCATAGAATGGTTTGGGTTGGAAAGGACCTTAAGATCATCCAGTTCCAACCCCCTGCCATGGGCAGGGACACCTCACACTAAACCATCTCACCCAAGGCTCTGTCCAACCTGGCCTTGAACACTGCCAGGGATGGAGCATTCACAACCTCCCTGGGCAACCCATTCCAGTGCCTCACCACCCTCACAGTAAAGAACTTCCTCCTTAGATCCAATCTAACTCTTATTCCAAGTGATGTTTATAATCCAGAAAATATGGCAAGACAAGAAAACAGTAATAAAGCAGGAGCATAGGACTTGGAATTTAGGAGCTTCCTCAAGTCCTGCTGGGCCGAAGGGATTTCTGTTCAGTTCTCTAGAAATGACATTTTCCTATTAAGGACCACCCAGAGAGAAACCTCAATTCCAAATTTAGAACACATTAAAGCAGTGCTAGAGCTCAGCGGTGGTGAAAGCTTTTAAGGACAAAACCCACACTGGAGGACAAGCAATCGGTGTGTGACACCAGGTCCCAGCACTGCTGTGCTCATCCGCACGCTGCCACGTATCACTGCACACCCTTCATTCCAGGGGATGCTCGATTCCCCATGCCCTGCTCATAGGGATCTCTTCCACAAGCAGGCTGCTCCCAAGGGGCCCACAGCCCCAGGTTAGACAGTCATCGGGTGTGGAGTGACATGAGGGCCTTCAGCGAGAGCTCAGCTTGGGACTAACCGCTCCAAAGAGCCGCTCTGCCTTCCTCAAATGATGCTTTCAGCAGGAACATTGGAGTTTTTACTTCAGTTTCTGGTGTGCCTGGTACACCCAGGATTATTGCTGAGCTTTAGACTTTAGGCCTTAGAATCCCAGCCTGGTTTGTGCTGAAGGGACCTTAAAGCTCCTCTAGCTCCAACCCCTGCCACGGGCAGGGACCCCTTCCACTAGAGCAGCTTGCTCCAAGCCCCTGTGTCCAACCTGGCCTTGAACACTGCCAGGGATGGGGCAGCCACAGCTTCTCTGGGCACCCTGTGCCAACGCCTCAGCACCCTCACAGGGAAGAGCTTCTGCCTAAGAGCTCAGCTCAGTCTCCCCTCGGGCAGGTTCAAGCCATTCCCCTTGTCCCATCCCTGCAGGCCCCTGTCCAAAGCCCCTCTCTGGGTTTCCTGGAGCTTCTTTAGGTATTGGGAAACTGTTTTAAGGTCTTTCCTGAGCCTTGGAGTTTGAATCAAGCAGCTGCACACTCTCCTTTTCTCTCAACATTATGCCTAGATGGATCAAGAAAGCACATACAGAACTGTGTCCCTCTGTGTGTGTACCAAATGCTGATGCAGCCAAAATACCTACTCGTTTAAACAGAGCAGTGGTGTCCACATACTCCATGCTTGAGCCAATGTCAATCCCTCACCTCATCTCTCACTCGCCTGTGGCCCTGCACACACACAGAGATCGCATCAAAGCCTCCAGGGACCTGTGCTGTGGCAATTCACCCTGAAGCTGGTACCAAAGACTACTCCTCAACCTGCAGCTTCCCTGACACCCCACGCTCTCACCTCCTCTGCGCCATGGTATAGCAGCATAGACTTCATTCACTGGAAGGGGTCTGTGCTTTGGAGCAGGACAGAGAAGGCAGGATGGACCTGACAAATGCAGACTGTGCAGCATGAAAACAGAGACCTCTGGCAGCCCAGAAGAAAGGGATCTCGCAGGGAAACCAAGAACAACTCAATTGAGTGGAGGTACTGAGAACGTAGAAATAAAAGATGGGCAAAGAAAGGAGCCCACTGGGGTAAGGTGGCAAAGAGAAAACGCACAACAAACCCTTTAAGGTGTAGTACATTTGGTGTCCAAAGACTAACTGCAACCTCTACCAAAAATTCCAGACTTACAAAGCTTTTGAATACTTCCCAGCCCCAGAGAGAGAGGACTCAAGTTTCTGGTGAGGAACGCTGGTTTTACGAGCATGGGCACTGATTTTCCAGGGCTGCATTAGGACAGCACAACACAGCAGCTCCTCCTCAGGTTTGGCTTCCATTTACTCAACACAGAAACACACAATAGCTGTGCTAGTCACTGGATTCCCAGGTTCTCTTAATGGAAGGATATTATGCCCACACCCAAGCTTTATTTTCCACACATAGCTGGAGTGTGAACAGAGATTACATAAACCAGCATTTCCTAACCAGCCAAGGAGAACCACCCACCTTCCCTCCACCCACCACAGAATGGCATTTTCCCTGCTGAAAGGAAGAAGATACAAGGACTTTTTCCTGCTGTGGGACCTGTACAACCCCTCCAGGCAAGGTGGGAGAACAGAGAAGGGCCTGCACAACTCCCACATCAGCATGAGTGTCAACTGAACCAACCATTCCCCTTCAGGCTAATTCAAATAAGGTGAAAGGAATGCTCCTTTTGCCAGCCATGATATTCACACTGAAGAATCCTCACCTTCAATGCTGGAGGGAGAAACCTTTCAGAACCAGAAACCTTTCTGCGGTGCTTTGATAAACGAGAGGAATTAAACACAGCATCTCTCGGACGTTGCCTGGCACAAAGCAAGACTGCCCAGGCTCAAAGGGAGACCCTAAGGAGCAGGCAAACCACATCAGCCAGTGCTGGAGAACTCCAGAGAACCACTGCCTCTTCCCACCCATTGCTCCATCCATAAGAGCACCAGTAACAACTGACAACTGGTTGTAAATTTGGTAATAGGGTATTGCACACAGTAGGAAAACTTCATCTGTAAAAGATGAGGAGAACAGACCACTGAGGGTGGCTTTTCCTACTTGCCTACCAATGGCAGAAAATAGGTGATCCAAACAAACAAGTAGGACACCACTACTAGAATCAAGTAAAACTTCACAATATATAATCTAAACAAGATTATTCTTTAGTAAAGGTGCATATTCAAAACTCCCTTCTTGACCTACAAAGCAGGCCTTTGCTACAGCAGAGCTACACTCAAAGACAGAAAGAAAATAGAAAGACAGAAA